GAATCGGGTGTTTGATGCGCCCTCTCTGTCTGTGCCCATACGGTGTGAATCTCCAAGCTATGAAACCTGCACGCCAGCACATGAAGATGAACATATCTTGATTTCCCACATTGAAGCTACATCGTATGTTATGTGACCTGTCGCACGCAGCTGGTGGACCAACTTGGAGAGCAAGATGAAATCTGCTACAATGGTGCCGCGAGCTTACCTCTGTAGCGAGTTACCAGCGAAACCCTTCAATCCTCCAACACACAGTTGGCCTTCCCACCTTCAGGGCCAGCCGTGCCACGAGTTGCAGGTGCGGCACCTCGGCGGATCAGAGTGTCGGGCCAGTTGTCTCATGTTTTGGGCTTCTCTTCCCATACTCACGCTCAACTCAGGAACGCCAAGAAATTCTTCGGGAAGAATGCCCCTGGTGCTCCTGCTCCTGGCGCAACTGCACCCAACCCGAGATCCAAAGCCCCTAAGGCCAAGGCTAAAGCGAAGCAAACCTCGAAGAAGTAGCTCGCTGCGGTCGCCTTGCATGACTTGCGAACATAATAGTATGTGCAGCAACTATGCTAAGTGTTGTGTTGTGCACTTCGCACGAATACTTTCCTGCCCGGGCCAGGTGACTAGTTTGTCGATCTAACTTAAAGTAGGATAAGCAGGCCCGCTGCGCAAGTCATGTCAGATGGGGAGGGAAGCTGGAAGCGATAAGCATTTGGCCTCCACAGCTTCGTGATGTGATTGCTGATGCCGTGGTCCTTGCCGCGGGTTTACGAGCACACGGCTGTAAGCTTCTAGGCTATTTAATGTCTATATATAGTGACTGATTCTAACCATAGCTACACAAGTAGGGGAGCTACAAGAAAGACTTGCTTCCCACATGTGCCGGCCCTGGGATGCTTCAGCCGAGAGTTCTTTTGGTTTTCCTGGGAGTGATGCGGTCCTGTTGGGGCACTCAGGATCTGACGGAAGCCTAGGGACCGCCTACGTTCGGCTGAGTTGTGCTCTGCAGAAAACACAGACTTCGATCACAAGTGGCTTCAAAGTTTGCATGTGAGCTGTCCCAGAAACACCAAATCCTGAGATATGAACACATCTTGCCCCGCATGCCAGAACCTGGTCCAGTGGCGAAGCAATGCTTTCGTGTGATCGGAGATGGCGCCCGGAGCTCATCATCTGCCAGCCGCTTCCGAGCCTTCAGAACATGTTCTGTGAAATCCGACTAGGCTGAAGTTTAAACTGTCGTGTTCAGCTGCAATGTGAAAGTCTGGCCTGGCTCAAACTCAGCTGGGGAGTTGTTTAGGGTGTTTCGGAGTGACATACCCAATGTTATTATGGAGCCTCCGGAGTTTGAGCTATGGGATCTTCTGACATGTCATCGCTCCGTGTTTCGGCTGCAAACGAGGTAACCTGGAGGTAACAGGAACAACGTCATGTAGCAACCCCATATCCATGATTGCACTCAGGCTGACGATGCTCCATTCCCGTGGCCTGACCCATCGTGCGTCGACGAGGCTGAACGTGCAAAGGCCTGCGCAACCCTGCCCACTGCACGGGTCGTGCCTTCACCCCCAAAGCTTTCAGCAGCTTGGAAGCCAGCCTGGGAACGGCATGTTTCAGACTCTGTTTTGGCCGACAACGAGATAGTGTCTGTGCTTCGGGAAGTGGATGAGCATTCAGACATAGAGTGGCGCTTGGCTGCCCGGGCAACTACTGCAGGGGGTATCCTCAGCCACGCAATCCATATCGTGAATCAACTGCTACACCGTCATGCTCCTATGATTTTCAAAATAGGTTTCACCCACAATGCCTGCTGGCGCTGGGAGAATACCATTTATGGTTACAGGTGGCAGCGGGAAAAGTGGGAGAAGATGTGTTTGTTACACATCGCCGAAGAACCTTTCAGCCTGGCAATGCTCGAAGCCGCCCTCATCAATAAATTTCAAAGAGCCTTAGCCGATTTTAGTTATTGTTTTTGAATGACCCCAACCCCTTAAAACTACCGACTCTCCTAGCTACCTTCGCCTATCATCCCTGAGGCACGCCTGGCTGCCGAAATACTCGATCCGGCGGAGATAATGTGAGGACGGATGGGGCCGCCTCGGTGAGTGTGTACATGACATACATTGTGTACAGATCTTTTAAGCACAAGCCTGCTTGATTGATGATTGAACAGGGGCTGTTCTGCAAGGGCGTGTGTCACTTCCAGACACAGCTCGCAGCAACTTAAAGTTTCTCGCCTATGGGGAACGAGCGTCAAAACTGCATGTTCATGTGCTAGTGATCGATCATTGCTGGCAAGGTACTTTTGCATCATGAGCTTTCTATTGTGCAAGCTGAAGTTGTATTGCATTCCCACGAACGACAAACATAAATCTGTTTTGGGCCTTGCCGAGGCCTCTTGCAGCTCGGCCGTGGAGTCGGCCCGGGCTGTGGTCGAAGAAATGCCAGCTGCAGCGACTGCTTCAGTGCGACGTGTTGCTAAGTGCTCCGTACGGGATGCTGAGAGGGACATGCATAGATTGGGGGACAAGTTTCGGTTGAGACTTGGGGTGCGCCTGAGTCGAGTGCCGCTGCTGCAAGAGATGAAGATCGCCATACTATTCATGTCATCCTGGATCAATCTTTTTCTTCAGAAGAACTTATGGTACTTTCTTTGTGGCTTGGACGAAGCGAACGAGGAACGATGTGAGCGACAGCTGGAATTGTACTGGGAACGTTTTCGTGGGATTGCTCCGCAGCACCCAGTGTTTCAACGTTCGCCTTCGGACCTTCGCCGGACTTGTCCGGTCCTGGTCCACGGAGACGAGGGCCGGAGTGCCAAAAAAACAGCATTGATGGTGCTTTCTTTTCATGCTGTCCTGGGGCGCGGAAGCTCTCAATCTTCTGAGAAGGGGCCTACCTGTGCCGAGTTCCTGCCACAGGAAATGAACTTTCTTGGCCATACTTTCGCTACACGGTACTTACTTGCCGTATTGCCACGAGCCATGTACGATGATGCCCTTGCAGGGAATTTCCAACGACTTTTGGGACATCTGGTTCCGGATATGCGAAGCCTTTTTGAGGAAGGGCTGCTATCTCCAGTCTACAACAAGAAGTTTTTTGTATGCGTCGTGAACATCATGGGGGATTGGCCTTTCCTGGCCAAGGCTTTCAATTATAATCGGACGTTCGGCAATTCAGCCAAACGTGAATCGTCCAAAAAAGCACCAACAGGGATATGTCATGCTTGTTTGGCCGACAGGCCAGGCTTCCCTTTCGAGGATTTCGAATCCAGTCAGCCTCGATGGCGGCAGACGGTGAACGTTCTACCTGCCTACGACAGAACGCCTGTTTTGATGACGTTGCCACACGATGCGGCTGACCCTTCCGGCTTCGCAGGCCAAGACTACTTTCACGGGTTTCATCTCGGAGCCGGAAAAATCTTTGTCGCATCCGTTCTTGCACTTCTCCAGTACACCTTTGCAGGTGACAGTTTCAAGGTCCGCTTCAAGTCAATGGAAAGTGCATTCTTCGACTGGTGTCAGCGTCATCGTCAGTTTCCTTATATCCGCAAACTGAACCAGGACACGCTGGGTTGGCCTCATGCGACAGAGCCAGCAATGGGCGGGTGGAGCAAAGGTTCCACCACACTATGTTTGCTACGTTGGTTCGTTTGCTTTTGCCACCAGAGCAGAGATACGATCCCAGAGGATTCCTTGTTGTTTCTGGCATGGCAGGCAGCATGGCAAATCAACAAGTTTTTTTCGATGCTGTACCGCGAGAAACTGTGGATCATCGCTTCGAGAGCAAAGGAGATAGCTGCACATGGGCGGGCTTTTCTGAAGTACAACGGCCGCTGCGCCAAGCGCGCTTTCGACGAGAACTTGCCGCTGTTCATGTTTATGCCTAATTTGCACAGACTACATCATTTGATGATGAGGATGGAAGATCAGGCTGAAGTTTCGGCCTTTGTGCAGAACGGCTTGATGTGGTCATGCCAAATCGAGGAGGATTTTATCGGAAGGCCCTCGCGACTGAGCCGGCGAGTTCACCCTCGCCGCGTTATCGAGCGCACATTGCTTCGCAGTCTGACAGCGGCTCATAGGCAGTTTCGAAGTGCGGGGCTTCTCCACGGCAGCTGACTGTGTAAACTCATTTCAGATCATGAGCATCAGAATGTAAAATGAACATACATACTTGTTTTCGTCGACACATAAAGACTTTGCAACTGTTGTGGACAGCTCACGCTCTCACTGCTCAGTGCGCGGCCCAGAATCTCGGATCCCGGCAGCAGGCGCGTCGAGCCACAAAAGTTGTGTGGAGCGAGCTTCTAAACCACCCAATGAGCTCAATTCAGCTCATCCAAGCATTGCAATCCTATGTCGAGCAATACCCCGATGATCCCCGAACTCCCAAACAGACCTATCTTCTTCGAATCAAGCTCCTGATTGCTCAATCTCAGCTGATCCAGCTATAGCACTCCTGCTACAAGCAACACCCCGATGACACCCGAAATACAAAACCTAACACCCTGATGATCCCCCAAAACACAAGAACCGCGTTCTTTCTTCAAGAACCTGGTTTTCCCAAACAACCTACCTTTTTAAGGGGTCTGGAGGGTGTAGGTAGGGCTTATCGGGATTAGGGATCCCTATACCAGCCAAAATTCCGCAAATCCGAAGCACGCAAAGCAAAATCCCCGCACCCGGCACCTTAAACCTCAAAGGCCCCCAAAACCGGACAGCACGCCCTAAGACCCGAAGTCTCTAGGGCCCGTAAACCCAAACCACTAGACGAATGCCTAAGCCGCAGCCCTAAACCCTAAACCCTACACCCTATAGACCCTATACCCTGAACCCCAAAGGCCCTACATCCTAAGTAAGCCCAAAAAAGCCAAAACCCTCAAGGCCTTATACCCCTAGCCCCAAAGGCCTATATATATATATATATACATATATATATATATGCATATATAGATATATCTCCTAAGTAAGCCCTGACGCAACCTACAACACTCTTGGTCCAGATTCCGCTTCGAGGGAACCTGGAGGTCCGCACGTGATCGGAAGCACCTTCTGGGGGTCGCTTAGGGTTCTTTTCCAGGGTTTATATAGAGTTTAGGGTTTAGAGGGTTTAGGGTTTAAAGTTTCGGGTTTAGAGGGTTTAGGGTTTTTTTTTCTTCGTCAAGCGAATGTGGGGATTACCGGGCGGTGGTAAAGGCCCGATGCAAAAGGGTTTTTTTTTTTAGAGTTTTGGTTTCCCCCAAATCTCGTCAGTTTAGGGTTTAGAGGGTTTGGGGTTTAGGGTAAAAGCAACTCGAGATCCCAGTATTTCAGTCTGTACTGGCGGCGGGCTCTGGGTTAGCGGGGCTTCAAGAAATCCATTTTTTTACACCTGGACTGAAGAGTTTACGGTTCAAGTAGGGGTTCGGGTTTAGGGTAGGGTTCAGACTCCAATGGCACTGGTAGTGCTAGTCACAGTCATGGTGTGGGCAAGAAGACAGCAGCCATACATTTAACAGTCACAACTAGGAATGGCGAACGTAATCTGTGACCACCAGTGTCAAAAGCAGTCAGTGAGACGAGTAAGCTTGCAAAAATATGTCCTGTGCTCTTCTTGATTTGGCGCAAAACATGTTTTCTCAGAAGGAACATGAGGTTTACTGTTGTGGCTGTACTGTAGTACATTGGCTGTGATGGCTATGCTGCCCAAAAATGTCGAAGGCTACTTACTCCGCTGCTTTAATGTTCAGGATACCTACGTTGTACTTATAATCGGTTTTGCACAAAGCTAGATACACATCCTCCAGATGTTGCTCTATCAGTTCTGGTTCGTCGATTGGCGAGGTTTTTGAGTTCTTCCAACAACTACATAAAGTGCAATTCGTTCTCAAAAAATTACGAACAACCTCACGTTGTTCGCGCTCTCTCACTCTCTCTCTCTCTCTCTCTTAGCTGCTGCTGCTGCTGCATTGTACTGCTCACTTGCGAACTGCGCGGGCATAGTACCGAAATACAGTGATACTGTGATATGCATCCAAGATCCCCCCGTGCTAGTAATCCTTGTAGAACCCTGTAAGGGGATCCTTCTCCAATTATCAGGGCCCCCATGCTTAAGTACCCTTAGAACCCCTAAAAAAAGCAATGATCCTTTCTTGGAGTTTGGTACTAATCATCATGATGACAACACTAACAATACAACTGTACGTGTAATTCCTGAGAGCACTAAAGCATATTATACCCGACAGAAGTACTGAATTTCAATCCAAAGGAGCCCCCGAGGTCGGTGAGTCCAGGCGTGAGGCCAAGTGGAAGCCGCGAGGAAAAAGGCCCTGGTGGGAGGTTCAGAGGACGTAGCAAGTAGGGTTGTAAGAACAAGTCAGGTAGCAAAAGTTATATTAGATATTGATCAGTTATAAGATACAAGTAAGGTAGCCATAGGTAAATATTAGATATTTATCAGACCAACTCAGTGACTTAAAGCCCTACTTACCAAGTCTTCTGATACTCTTCCTGGTGGGGAAGGGTTACTACAAGCGCTGCTATTTGGAGTTAGGGTTTAGGGTTGGGAGCGTCGGCGCTCACACTCGGACGGGAGTTTAGGGTTTAGAGTTTGGAGTCCGATTTAGGGATCCTTACTAGGACTAGAAGAGGAAGTCTAGGGGTATGCTTAAGGGTTCAGGCTTCAGCGTTGTTGGCTCACAGAAGTGTAGGGCTTTGGTGTTTAGGGGTTTCGGGCAATCGTCCGTACGGTAGCCCTAGTTAGGAAGGGCCCCCCACTATGTTACTAGTACAAATGACCATCGAAAAACTCGAATTATGGTGCTGCCATTGGGCCGCGGCTTCACACCGCGCAGCGGAGGCCACGGCTTCGGTGCGGATACCCGCCGGCCTGTAGCAATTTGAAGCATTCGATCCGAAGGTCCTCAGGCCCGAAAATCTTCAAGGCAATGATGATACGTGGGCTAGAACCCTATTTAAAGACAAGAACCCGGAGAATCCTCCCTCCTGGTTGCAGCATTAGAGTTCTTCATGTTGTCGAAAGCTTCTTGCGAAACTCTAGACACTCAGCACTTGTGGTCTCAACACAACAACGCTGGACCAGGACCGTTTACTGACATGTACATTTCTACATAGTTGGCCACTCAGCAGGTAGCGGTCACTGATGAAAGTACTGGCTCATTCATTCAGTGTTTCTTGACTGGGTATGCCTCCACACCATCTTTGACATGGATGAAGATTATACCGTTGTACCCTACGGAACCTGTGCAAACACAAACCGAAGCGGACGCGAAGCTTCAGCCTTAGTCCCCAGACCGGAAGCCCTGCCGGACGCACTTACCTATGGGGCCATACCCTACCCCTTTTTTTAAGGTACCTATACTTTTCTATATATGAGAACCTAGCCATAAAACAAGGTACCCTAAAACAGGGGTAGGATATGACCCTCTAGGTACAGTAGAACTCAAGCCTAAGGCCGAGTTTTGCAGGGCCTGCGGCCTTGAGACTTGGAAGCAGCTGTGGCATTCAGTGACTTAGGGCGTCATGTTTTTGGTTCTGAGCTTTGTTGGGGGGGACCCTAATATAGCACCGAAAAATGGTGTTATAAGGACCCCAGAATAAGGTACCCCTGATTTTCGAAAACTCCCATTTTTCAGCAGGATTTGGGGCCTCGGGGTTGGGTTACTGTCCGACTGCAGGCCAGGGGCTTGTTCACCACCACGACGCCTGCTGCGGGACGCCAAACCAGATAGATTTTCAGATTCGCGCATGCTTGGTGGGTTTTAGAAGTTTTTAGAACTGTTCTTCTATGGAAATATGGCCAGCTGCGTTGTGGCCCCGAACTGCCAAATGCCGCAAAAGCGGACACCCAACAACATAGGTCCAAACAGAGGTCCTGCAGGCGCCACTACAGGGACTAGTGTAGGTCATGGGTTGCCTCCATTTTTTCTGCAATAACAAGGACTGCTGCTGCAAAACGTTTGCGAACTTTTTTCAGCTCCATGGCCCAATCCTAACTCAGGCGGTAGCTCTCAACGACTGCAAGGCCCCCCCCCCCCCCCCAGAATACGGAGTATTCCTGTAATGAGAAGAGAGTCCCTTGACAAATGTGCCTTCATTCACCAAGGATACTCTATAAGTTCGAAAAGGGCTTCTTGTTGCAGGGAGACGTGGCCTGATATGAGCTCCAGCACCTAAACTGGAATCTGCAATCGGGCGGACTCGAAGAAAAAGTTCAGTTCGAGTTGGAGCTGTCGTATGGTTGTTGGGTCAAATGAACTTTATATATATATATATATATATATATATACATATATATGTTCTTGATGTTATGGGATTCTGTGGGCGATGGGTTTTGTCTTGGTCTAAAGCTATCACTGCTGGCCTAGCGAATTTTTAACCCAGCCAATCGTAAACCCTCAACCCTAAACGCCAAAGTGTAAACCCTAAACTGGCTGGTGCATGGCCTGGGCAGGTGCGAAGCATTTCGACGTCCGGGGCAGCCGCGGGTCCCTCCCAAGGAGCTGTTTCCTCGGTTAAGAGTTTCAGGGTTACGGTTGTGGATCTTCGGTTTTCGGAGTCAGGATGATGTTTGGGATTTCAGGCTTAAGATTTGTTTTTAGGGTTCAGGGTTTGTGGCCTAGGGTTGGGGGAATCTTTCTACGGGCTTTCTCGATGGAGCGGCATAGGCTTTACAGGGCAATATTGTGGACTACCGAACAAAGAATAACAATGCAGGCCTGTATTTTTGACTCTAGAGTGAAGGGTTAATTAGGGCCCTTCGTGCTTCGGACTTCTTACCTCCTTCTCGTTGGAATTCTTTGGGTGGGCTCTCCAACTTTTGTCAGCACAGGGCTAATTTACAACCCGAAATTCCCAGACCCCCGGGAGGATCTAGAAACTAGATCCCGTAATTTGGGGCCCTACTTGGAGGATCATGGGCTTAGTAACTATAGTTATAAGTCCCTTAATTGGGGTTATAAGTAATTATAAGTATTAGTTACCCCAATAATAACCCTAGTTACTAAGTCCCAGGATCCTTCAAGTATACTACTAAGGGTACTTTACAGGAACCCCCATTGAGGGATCTACTTTTTGGATCGTCCCAGGGGTCTGGGTTTAAGCTGTCCGCTACCCGCTAGTCAAGCTACCAATATCTCCTGCGAAAATCCACACATCCAACATCGGAGGGCTTATGCGCTTTCAGGTGCTCTTTGCTCGTTATGTGGAAGCCGGCCCTCCAAACCATAACCCAAGAAAGCCCGGAGCCCAGAATACCCAAATCCAGAACACCCAAAGCCACAAATGTCCAAACCAGGAAGCTAATTCGTTCGAGGATTGCTGCAAGCCGAACAGTTTAGCTGATGCTTGTTGCGCTGTTTCTGCTACAACGATGCGGCGATTTCCTTCTCCCTATGCTTACCTTTGGTTAGTAGGGAATGGAAGAATGGTAGTAATAGTAGTTATAATTGTACCTCATTCCTCCATTCCCTACTATCCAAAGGTAGGTATGACCTCTAAGCTTCAATCCGCTAAACTATGTTTCCGGGTCTAGGCCTGTGCACCCTAAACCTTTGGACAAGCCTCCAATGGTTCGCTCGTCCCTTCGGCTTCCCATCTTTGAAGCATGGCAAGTAGCAGCTCTTCCTGTGCAGGCTGAGAACCCCACCCCCAAAACCAACACCCTAAACCCCAAACCCTTTTTGCATCCGGGGTTGGGAACTCGGTCCTAAACCCTAAACCCTTTTTGCATCAGGGGTTGGGAACTCGTCCCCTAAGCCCTAAACCCGAAACCATTTGGTTTGTACCTTTTTGGTTCGGGCTTGGGCTTTGGGGCTTAGGGCGTCAGGGTTGAGGGTCTAGGCTTGAAGACTCTATGGTTGAGGTGTGATTGGGCCACAGGCGGGCCGTTAGCGCTGTGGATTTAGGGCTAATAAGCCACAGGCATCACATGCCTAACTTTGCTCATCTAAAAGAGCCCAACAAGTTTGAAGGCTCGGTACTGGAAAACTAAGGGCTAGCAAGGCTCACGGCTTTTCCAGAAGCTCACCTGGCTCGATCGAGGGTCCCCCATGGGAGGGCCAGAGTCGAGGGGCCTGGGGTGAAGGCTTTTGGGGCTTCGCCGCTCGCACTCGGGTTTAAGGATGTCGACGTGTATGCATGGAGGTTTCAGCACTCACAGCTGGGACGAGCCTGGTGAGGATACTGGTGCGACGAAAACACATTCAAGGTCTCCAGGGGGTTCCAGTGTTTAGGGCCAGCAGGTACTAACTGTTGCTACAATTTGAGAATCACCCTCCCATCGGAAAGCCGTGTGGGAAGCACCTTCAACCCAAAGCTGCAAAACAAGTCTCATCCCCCCTCCTACACTCTGGCATTTCAAAGCCTCTACCTGCAGAGAGTGATGGGTGGGTGGGGCTTATTGCTAATACTGTTTAAGTATGCTTCAGGGCTCATGGATTACGACACAGACCTGCCTTCTGGGTCTCTGAAGGCATACAGCCAATGGCGGCAGCCTAGGCAAGCACCCAGACTGCACCGTCAGGTCTGGCTCTGGTGCGGCTTGTGCCACAAGGTTTCGAGCAAAGCAGAGACCGGATCTGCATCATTGTTTAAACCCTGAACTCTAAACCCTCAGGCGTCTGATTGATAACCCCCCAGATCATCCGAAACCCTCAAACCCTTCGACCCCCAGCACTCTAAACCCTTAAACCCCTAGACCCAAACCCAAAGCCCCTGAATACCCCTTTTTGCATCCAGGCCTCCTGACCCAAGCCCTAAGCCGCATAGAATCCCTAAAAACCCTAAACCTGAAACCCCCTAAACCCCAGGCCCCTGAAGCCTCTGAACACATCTGCAGCCTTCAAACCCCAACACTCCAAACATTCCCAAGCTCCTAAACCCCTACAGGGAACTCCAGAAAGTTGGAATATGGCTTCAGGGTAGGATACCTTATAATTTACCATAGAAGGGTTAGGATAATCATATTCCAACTTTGTGGCTTTCACCTTAGACCCAAACCCCAAGGCCCCCTCAGAAATCTTAACCGGAACCCTCCGATCCCCTAATCCGCCAAACCCCCAAGCCCCTTAGAATCCTTAAACCTCCGCAATTAGGGGACCCTCATATAGTACCCTGAGAAGTAAGTTCCTTATCATAAGGACCCCAAAATGAGATAATTACCCCTCTTTCGGAAACTCTAAGCCCTAAACCCTCAGAAGAACCCTTATAGATCCCTTCAAGGATCCCTTTAACGGTACCCCTCATTTTCGAAAACTCTAAACCCTTATGGAGCCCTTTAAAGGAACCCTAAATTACCCCTCGTTTTCGAAAACTCTAAACCCCCATAGAGCCCTTTAAAGGAACCCTAAGGTACCCCTCATTTTCGAAAACTCTAAACCCTCATAGAGCCCTTTAAAGGAACCCGAAGGTATCCCTCGTTTTCGAAAACTCTAAACCCCCATAGAGCCCTTTAAAGGAACCCGAAGGTATCCCTCGTTTTCGAAAACTCTAAACCCCCATAGAGCCCTTTAAAGGAACCCTAAGGCACCCCTCGTTTTCGAAAACTCTAAACCCCCATAGAGCCCTGTAAAGGAACCCCTAGGTACCCCTCATTTTCAACCCTCATAGAGCCCTTTATAAACGAACCCTAAGGAACCCCTCATTTTCGAAAACTCTAAACTTTAAAGGAACCCCAAGGTACCCCTCATTTTCGAAAACTCGCATCTGCAGCAAGGCAGCCGCCAGCAGCGAGTCGGCGCGGCGCTGGCCCAGGAGAGCTCCGAGGGCGGCCGTCCACCAGGTCCCCGCCTGGCTTTTGCTTAGGGGTTTAAGTTTAGGGTTTAGGGATTTAAGGGGTTTAAGGTTTAGGGGTTTGGGGTTTAGGGCTTTTGCAAAGCTTTCTTCCTAGATTTAGAGTTTAGGGATTTAGGGGGTTTAAGGTTTAGAGTCTACGGGCTTAGGGTGTTTAGGGTTTAGGGCTTTTGCAGGGCTCTTTCTCATGCGTTTGGAGGGTTAAGGGGTTAGGGGGTTGAGGGGTTTAGGGGTTGAGGGGTTTACGCTCTCGCAACTCGGACAATCCAGACGAGGTTCTTGGTCGGCAACTGAACTTCTGCAGGACCCCCCGATAGCAGTAGAAAACAGCGAAACAAAAGGTAAGGCCATAGACTTCGTGCTACCAGGGGGTGCGTAAGGCTTCACACATTGGAGAAGCAGAGTCCCTCCTATATCCCCACATGAAACAGCGCCAACACAAGGTAAGGCCACGAAAGACGGGCTACAGGAGGAGCTCCGAAAAAGGTAGACGGGATGTACAGTATAGCGAACTCGCGTGTATCGACACCGAGGACAGAAGTGTGAAACCACTGCAAAGAAAGCTGAAATTAGGCGATTTCCAGTACACTGGTCATGCAAGCAACTATCTAAGACATACACGTCACTCCGACAGCATGCACAGGGTCTCAGAACAAGGTGTATGTGTGTGCGGGGTCAAAATTACTGGCCATGCATGCAAATCACGCTCGACGTGCACCTCACTCCAACGGCATGTACAAGGCTTCTCAAGTCGACACCCTCATTAGTCCCCATACTCAGAAGTGCTCGACCCGAAGTATGCAGCCATGTCAGGGTGTAGCGGTCTCCATCCATGTACTGCAGGACAGTCACTCTTCAAGGACAGCAGACCAGACACTGACCACCAGTGCGGTGATGCGGGCTTCCGACCGTTCGGTTGCTGCTCAACTTGCAAAGGAGCCATCACAGTCACGCTTGGTCAAGTCAGCCACGAAAGTCCTCACCCTGTCATGTAGGATGTATGCTCATGCAGGCCGCGCCCACTTTGGTGACAGATCGAACACACCCACGGGGTGAAGGTGGTGGTCATCGCGGCACATGTCTGACCAAGCCGACTGTATGTAAACACTCCAGTGCACATGCACAAAAGCGATAGCAAGGCAGGACCGGTGAACTCCGGCAGTTCGACCATTTGAGGGCGGAGATCAAACAAGCGGGTTCCCATCTAGCTTCCACAGGAAGCGCACGCAGCTGAGGTCATGTATCCAGCTCCAAAATCCAGAACTCTCCATAGCGATAGGTCCAGGGGAGTCTCGCGGCAGTGATGCAGCGATGATGGCATGCCGCAAAATGAGTCATGGCTGGATTGCACGGGCGAGGGGTAGTGGTTTGGGGTGAGGTCGGGAAAACAGGGCTTAAGTTCATATTTGTAAAAGGGGAGTGAGGTGAGGCAGACTGACACTGACGGCGCGATCTCATGATCATCACCCATGCATCATCAGAAAGAAAGCAGCACGCAGTAGGCAAGGGCATGCAAAAGGGAGAAAAGGGCAGTGCAAAGGCAAGGAAGGCAGTCCAGCAGGGCAGTCCAGCATGAATTCCAAGTAAGTGCAGCCAAGGCGCCGGAACCAAGAGACTGGGTCCAAAAGAAAGCAACCCGAAGGCAAGAACCAGGAACAAACCCCAAAGACCTGAACTGAAAAGACAAAGTCGAACTCAACCGTAGAGACCCTCAATCGGTGCAGGACTAAGGATCAGTCCCCAGCAGGGGAGGTGTAGCCTAAGTTGATGCCATACGATTGCTTCCGCAGTACAGTCCAAACGGCCCCATGCGTCCATAACACAATGCTCGAGGAACCTAGCATCATCTGCGGAGGCATACGTAGTAAGGGGCAAAGGGTTGGCTGCACGAGGGAACTCCGATACAACTTCATCCAAAGAGTCTAAATAGATCCAAAGATCATAAACACGGTTGTAATACCAATACCAGGACTTCTTATACTCACGAACAATGTAACGGAGCTCCGCCGCGCACCAACATGCAATATGGGACGGCATCTGGTGTAGTGCAGAGGCAATCTCTTGGGCTGCCAAAGGTATGAAGGGGCGGAGATACGCCGGTTGAACGATCTCTAGCTGGTGGTCTTCCATCTTACACGGAAATCCACGCCTAGCTTGAACCTCAAGTGCTACTCACGCTCAACATTTCAACCTCTTCATCCTGTGAATCCTTGATTTCAATGACATCATACTTATCGCGTTGTTCTACACTGAGTTGTAGGGCCTCGTTTAGGTTCAACTGTCTGAGTCGGGGATGTGAGCAGGCACTGCAACCAAACAAGGATCGTTTGATGGCACCTTCAGAGGGAATCGGGAAACCCAGATGGAGCAAGGAATGCCTGACCTCAGGGGAGAGACTACAGCAATGGAGGGATGCAAAGGTAACAAGGGTGACTCTTTGGGAGGGATCCGTAGTGGGACGAATGTATCCTGCATGTAGTCTATGTCGGGCGTTAAAGATTCTGGGTTCATTCAAATTAAAAATGGTGCCACGGAGTGCATTCCCCTTGTAAGGCAGTACTACATCCCCTATGGTGTCCTGTAGCCAGAGCCCCTCGCCTTCTGGACATGGTGTAAGGGTTTGAATACTGCTGGGAGTAGGGCCATTCCGGTAGTCACGGTGCACCTGTGCCATCACACCCCGACGAATGACAAAGGTAGAATACAAGTGTGTTGGGCATGTGCGGGCCATGTACTTATTGATCACCATACTCATGAAGGGCATCTCAGTACTATGGGTAAGGCCTGAGTCGGGACAACGTGGAGAAACACCACTAACGAGGTGTGTACCAGCAGGGGAGGACCTAAGGCTCGAGGAGGGCATCATACAGAAGAGGTCCAACACGTCCTGTTTACTGGGGTACTGGGGGTCCATAAGGAGTCTGAAGGCTTTGATCTCGATAGGTCGGAGAAGGGGGCAGGGATGAAAGTCATGACATGCAATATACCATGGCTCGGAGGGTTCGCGCCTAGGTGTATGTAGATCACTTGTCTGCAAGTTGGCCAGTGAACCCTGTGTAGGTAGCAGGAGGCCCGGCATGACAGGAAATCGCATGTCACCCGAATCATCTAGCTGCGTGGATGCACATGGTTCTTCAAACTCAACATCCCCAGAATCGGAAGCAGGCGCAGGGTCATCAGGAATGAGGATGGGGTGCGGGGGCGACACTGTCAGTCTACCTACCTGCCACATCATTCAGGTCAATAGCTGGGAGCCAGGAAAAGATGATAAAAAAACTTCAGTATAAAGGGCCCTTTGCCGAGCATCTGCATAGCCAAGAGGAAAAATGACAAGCACTCCGAGTCGGATAATTGGCATAAAGGCACAGTGACTCGAAAGAGTGTAGAGCAAAAGGAGGCTCGCAGACGCTCTACCAAGCAAAAGGTGTGGAATGGCTCTTAGAGAGCACAGCTCAGGGTGAAACTCCGCCAGTGTCCCTGAGGAACACTGCTCGTGCAGCACGCCGCTACATGAGCCGTTGCCGGCGGGACAATTCAGGGTACCTCCTGAGGATCTCCTGTTCATCATTCGGCCGGTCTGCAGCAAATTTCGGAGCATCCTTTATTCGCGCCACTCTTGCCCTCAGCCAGAACAGGACTGTGTGACGCGCAACACTGTCCTTGAGGATTGAGCCAACCTTGCTTGCAGGTATTTCCGGATGTCCTGGCCCCGAAACAGCCAAGCGGTTCAGGAGGTCCTGTTCGTCCTCCGTATAGTATTTCGGATATTGGAGGATTATGGTGGCTTGCTTCTCTACTGTGGTGAACTTGTCTTTCGTCGTGGACCTTATGAATGCCGTCATTGCGTTCGGTGCCACCTGAAAGAGACTCCAGGCACGATCCAACTCCTCGCCTCTGGCAGCATGCATACATTGGACTGCAATCAACAGGTATCGTGCAAAGCCAAGCGCATCTTTAGGCAGCACGTCCCCCACCAGATGCGTCAGGGTTGCCACAGCCGGATGATATCTGCCAGGGAGCTTTCCTGCTTGTAGGCTGTTGATTGCCTCCGCAAGGTAGCCACCGGAGGCCAGTTTCTCGCTTGACAACTGGTCGCCAAGCACAACCTTGAGAAATACCAAAGCAATCGCCAAACGATTCATGCTTTGCCAGCCGACAGCGTCGTCCGCCACCATTGCCTTCTGGAGAAGAGCTAGGCCTAGCTTTGTTGTCCTCCAGAATTTTGGATCGTAAATCTCCGCAATCGCGAAGGCTTCGGCGCCATCCACATCGAATGAGAAGCCCAAGTCCTCCATGTGCGCTAAGAGCCTCTTCTGCTCTTCCGTAGGAGCGCTGAGAGCAATCTTTGCAAGTCCACGAAGCGTAGGCGGAATCTGTCCCAAAACAAAAGTCCCAGACATGCTCTCGATGGCAGACAGGAGGGCCTCGTAATCAGACATATCGACCTCTATGAGGGCCTTAAAGTCTGCAGGTGTCACTGCCTCCTCTGGAGCCTCGTGTGTCTTGCGCACATGGAGAAGGATGCCTTGGTTCTTTGTCTTGACGTCACTTCCACCTTCCGGTGCTGCAGGGGCTTCCTCTGCAGGTGCAGCTTCTCCCAGTCCTTGCATACTGCTGAGTGCGATTGCGACTCTGATATGAGGAGCGGGGACTCTGTCACTGAAGTTCTTTTTTCGAACTTGAGCCGTAGCCATTTCGGTTGAGGGGTTTAGGGTTTAGGGCTTCTGTAGTTGGCGATTGTTTTTAAACTGCTAGATTTCTATGCAAGTCTTGTGCCGGTTTCTTTGATACAGGGTGTTTCTGTATGACCTTCTCAGTTAGGGTTTTGGCGTTGGGCTTGCAAGAGCTAGGGGGATTCTTGAAAACGTGGTACTGCAGTCTCAGCAGTGTGCCAGAGATCCTGGAGGCCGTCTGTATAGCTACATGGACCTTCAGGCTTCACTTCATCCGCCGTACAGACGACAGGCATGTCGAAGCGCTAATTACTGTGTCAGCTGTGCCATGGCCTGCTCACCCGTCAGCGCACTCACTTTGCAGATGGAAGCGCTGTTGACTTTGGCCGGGGCAAACATCAAACTGCTGCACACCACACCTGCCTGTGTGCGTAAGCCCTTCTGCAGCGCTGCTCTCTGCACTACCCTAAGGCCCCAAAGTAGCTCCTTTTTGGGGTTCGTATATAGAATCCTATAAGGTAAGCCCAAAAAGGAACTACTTTGGGGCCCACGTTACACGATTAATGATGTGGGTAGTTGTCAAGATTAGGGTCCCTTTTATGGCCCTTACCATAATACGGCACCTAAAACTTAGGGTACCCAAAAAGGGACCCTAATTTTGACAACCACCCATGTGGGACCTTACCATGGTCTAAAAGGTACCTGGGTTTGGAGTACCATACTTTAATACTTTTCGTTGGTACCTGTTCCTTTAAGGAACCATTATGAAATAAACGTCTGTACTTTTTCTCCTTCAAAGACCAGGGCATGCACATGATTTACTTTGAGTTGGAATTTCTGGGGCGGGTCTGTAGAGCTCTCGGATGGATCGGAGAAGAGATTTGGTTTTTGGTGGAGTACTGTATCAAAGTATTGATTTGGTTCAAGTTGGACTAATACCTGGAATCCAAGATCCTTAAGAGGCACCCCCGCCCCCCAACCTGCATTCGATAACCGCTGGTGTGGATGGCTCTACTGACTCGGAAGGTGTTCGTGTTCACGTCTATGCATGGCCTCCTGGAACCCAGACACCAAATGCACGTCCCCGAAAACACATGACTAACAAAAAACAAATAATAATGGGAATACAAAAACTCCTAATTCAACTCGGAAACCTCAAGAACAGCGTTTGTTTTCCTGGTAAAAACAGAACCTGAAGCCTAAAACTTATTCGCATACTACGAAGCATCTGTACCAGGTTTAGGCAATGTTGTGGCAAACCCCTTAATACCAGCCCCAAACACATCCGCACCCTAAGCCATTGACCCAAATCCCAAAACCCTACTTGCCGGACATCAACGTCCGAAGAAGGGACCTCGATGCACGAAGTCTGGTCCAGCCTCAGGGTTAGGGGTTTTCCAGTGTCGTCAGAATCCCTGCCACAACCGCCGACCCGGCATGAAGGGTTCTGATAGAGAGCAGTGAGAGGGAAGGAGGGTGGGGCGTTGGAACGGCTGTTGCTGGTTGTTTGGTTTGATCTTGTTCGCTTCGCTGTGTGGCGAGATGCTGCAGCGAGTGCAATGACGAGCTGGAGTAGAAGTAAGAGCATTGTGGTGACAATGCGTTCCATCATTTGCATTGCACGGTCGCGACCCTCGGAATGTTAATACATGCTTCGCCAGCGTCTTCTTCTATTCGGATTACCAGGAAAGAATATATGATACTCTTATTACGCTGTGTAGTTATGCTGGGACCCTAAAAGCCGATGTTGCACCACAGGCTGGCTCACTCACAAGGGGTTACTGGTGGGATCCGGTTATGTCAAGCTTGCCTAGCCCTAGGCTTTCAGGGACTTTATTATTGGGTCCTTAAGGGGTCTAGGGCCCTAACTATAAGATCCTTGGAGGCCTTGGGTAGCCTTGGGCTTCGGTTGCTTTGCTAGGGAACTTGCTTGACACTGCAAATGCTTGAGTGTAGACACCCATCCGCCCCAGCCCCGATCTCTAATCCACGGGGGCCGAGTTGTTTATGTCATAATAGTCTTCCTTGGGGTCTCGTGAATCAGAAATAAAGTATCAGGCACCCTACCCCTCAAAAAAAAAAGTAGTCACATGCTCTAGACCTCTAAAGCCCTAAAGCCTCAGCCACAAGTTCTCACAACTAGGCTCCCTTTTCAGGGTCCTTCTATTCGAGGGCGCCGTACTGTTCTATCTACCTAATTTTGCGACCCTAATTTGGACCCCTGCGGCCCTACCTTAACCCTGAATAACCTACCTTTTTAGGGCTCCTTATTATATGATCTCCTTATATAAGTCCTTAAAACCGTCGGAATCAATGCCTAGTGGCACATTCGGGCGGAGGCCCGACGATCTCATGCTTCCAAGCCTGGAAAAGCCAAGAAAATACCAAGAGAACCCACCCTATAGTCTCCATTGTGGTTCCTTTGTGGGGATACCTTCTAGGATCCTTAATACATAATTGGTTAAACCAGCAACTTTTTCCTTCCTACTTAGCAATAGCAAGGACGAGGCCCGCATTGCAGGGAAGTGGGGGGGTAACAGTTGAAAGCAACAGCCTAAAGGCAACTGGAGCGCAGGATTCTACAGGATTCTTACAGGTGACATTGTAGGGTTGCTGATTATTACTTGCTGGATACACGGGTTTTTGGGTCTAGGGTTCAGGATGGGTTTAGGTGTTAATTCGTTGTGCTGCGGCTCGGGGTGCGTTAGATCAAGTTTCCGGTCTCTCGGGTACAGAGGAAACATTTGCAAGGAATGCAAGTGGAATCATCAGGCTCCGATGTTTCAGGGTGCATGAAGGATTTAATTTAGTTTGTGTATTTTCATTGTACCGCTTGTTCTATGAAAACTCCAAAGTAACCATCAAGGTGTTCCGCGGCTGGCCTCACTCAAGGGCTAGCAAAACCGAACTCAGAAATTCTGCACCCGAAATTACAAAACCCTCAACCCCAGACCCAGTCTCAGACTCAAACCCCTCATGTCGGGTGTTTCCGAAAATCGGGGTCCCGAATATAGCACCTAAATACTAGGATCCCTTTTACAAGGACCCCAAGATATAAGGTACCCCTGATTTTCGGAAACTCTGAAGCCCTATAGAGTCCTTTAAATCCAAGGGTAAAGGGAGGGAGCCTTAATAAGGACCCCTAGGTATATACCCTGAATAATTATATACCCATTACATAGCCCATTATAGGGTAGGGGTCCCCACTAAGGGTCCCTCCTTCTCCCCTTTGATTAAACTAAACCCTTTTTAAGCACGGACTTGGAGTGTATGCCGGCAGCGAAGCTTTCTTAGTTTAACCCTAAACCCTGAACCCTATAGATCCCTTTCAACCCTTATATGATCCCTTTAAAGGAACCCTAAGACGAGCCTAGTAGGCCCTTATAGTACCCCCATTGAAGGAACCCTGAAGTCTCCCCTGAGCTTTTGGAAAAGCAAGCCAGGGCGCAAGGCCCAGGCAAGGTGCCAAAGGCCTCCCCCCTCGAGGGCTTTGATGAGCGCCTAGGCATTGGGTACCCAGAGACTCCAATACCCCTTAAGAAAGGAATATTCCTTAAATCATATAAGGGATCCTACTATAATTTAAGGTATATTCCTTAATTAAGGAATATTGGAGTCTCTGGGTACGGCCCCCCACACAGTAACAGTCCATAATAAGGCTACGATCACGGTCCTAATATATCTATATTATGAACATTATCACTATAATGGGGCTGCTATTTAGGGCCTTATAAAACTAGAATATGAATATAAATTATCCAACTGTTACTGAGTGGGGGCAGTACCCGACCTAGGCATCTGATGGGGTTTCAGCACTCACTCGGACTTGCCCGGGCGAGGATCCTATCTTCTGTTCGTTATGGGCTCTTTTCCGTCGTCCGAAACCCCGATTCGACGGAGCCTTTATTCCCAACCTCTGCTTAACCAAACAACGCCGGATCCTATCTTCTAGGGTTTAGGGTTTAGGGTAGAAAAAACCACGGTTTCGGCTTCTTTGGAGCTGGTGATGGGAACACGCGCTTCATCAACTGAACTCTAAGGGCACCATGTGTTGACCACGATCCCTGAAATTTAGAATAGCGCAGGCTTTGAATTGCAATCAGTATCAAAAAAGAAGACTGTACGAAATTCTGCCCGATCGGTTGCGGAAGTGCAGACTTGCGATGGCCGAATGCACTCGGAGAATGCGGTGCTAGAGTTTCTGGGGTTTTGATCGGTTGTCATCCGGACGCGAGTATGCAACCGCCAATGCTGAATCAAATCACTGGGAAAAGAAGTTCGGGCCGCGGTTACACCCTATAGTAAACAAAAGGACCCTGCTCCCTAACTCCTGATGCCGAACACCACCCTTTCATCTCGACCCTGTTATCTCGACCCTGTCTTGTGCTTGAAGCCCTTTAACAGATGAACCAGCGCATGACAACCCAACGGCTTGAGAGATTTACAGGCATGATTCTTAAACACTCAAAGCTGCCGTGCTGCCGGGAAGGGCTTAACATCAAGGTCTGAAGTTTTTGTAGTTAGTGATGACAATGTCGCTGTGCGGTCCCTCTTGAGTTCTACTATGGCCCTTATGTCAGGCTTAGGGAGTTGGGAAGTGAGGGCCTAGGGTGTTTGGGCTTGTCAGTTGGGGTTCCGAGTTTCAGAATCGAAAGCGGCGGAGCTTTACTTTCGGATGGCCGGGAAATGGCTTGCAGGCAGGCGTCGCTGTGAGTGACGTGGTCCGGAATCATCTTCCTGACGTATAGAGTTTATCTGCATAACTATATATATATATATGTATGTATATGTATATGTCCGTATATGCATACAACCTGGAGGTACTATTGGGGGGACCGAGGGAGCAGTAGCTCAGATAGGGTAGTGTCACCTTCCCGTGGGTAGCTTCTGCCCTATGCTGACTGGTGACTGGGTCAGGAGTCTCGGGCTGTCCCTGCGCAAAGCAACGACCCGAACTTCTCAACTTAAAACCTATGCCTTGAAACTGAATCTTTCAATCGCGGTCCTGTGTATGGGCCGCTGGTTCATGAAGCGGAAGAGGCACAAAGACTTCTGCCTCGGGGTAGAGTGGGCGACGCGTTAAACTAAGCAGTCCGACCTGGGTGTTGGGGCTTGCTACACGAACACAGGCATAGGTTAGAAGCTGCCTCCACCCTGTAAATGTCACTACAAGGATTGTATTGGGGCCCTATTATATTCCTATTATACCACTATTACAGGGTGGGGCCCCCCTTCTAAGGCATGGTAAGCAAACAGAGAGAACTTGAGGAAAGTTCGACTTGCTTGGTTTGTACAACAGAAACTGAAACACTGCTTGGTGGCTTGCGGGCGGATTGGACGTGGGTTAGCTTGGACCGCGATATCGATTCCACTGTCCAAGAGTCGCTTGCCCCGTGAACCTTCGCCCGCTAAACCATGACAAACCCCGCGCATAGAACCCCAAGAAACCATACACCCGACGAGTCACATTAAAGAGCTAGTGCCGATATCGAAAGTCTAAAGACACCGTGAAAGCAGTTGTACTTGCAAGCCCAGCACCCAGAAACAAAATCGGAAAACTTGTGAGAACCGTTCATAACACCCTACAGAACCCTAAAACCCTTCGCAAGACACAGCGTTTTCCAGGCCCCGGCCAGGTACTCGCTTTCGCTGCTGCACTCAGGGCGGCGTTGGCACCAAAACGATCGAGCAAAAGCCCAGCACTGGCCAGGGAACCTGATATCGCAGGAATTTTATAAGTTCGGTTTAGGGTTCTCTACAGCTTCCTTTACAGCTATGCGGGTTCCTGTGAGGGTTGTACTTAGAGTTTAGTTTTAAGGCTTCGGGCCAAAGGCTTGGCCGTAGTCTCTTATTAGGTTTAAGGACTGGTTGAAGGTTTCATCGTAGAGGGTCGGGGTGAGTACTGGTAAGGATGTATTTCATCCAGTGGGATTTCGGTGCATCTTGAAGGTTCAGGGATAGCATGCATCTGAGCACCCTAACAGCGGTTTCGAGTCGATAGAAGTGACAGAAGACTACAATAGCTGAGTTTCACAAACCCAGGTCTGTGGGCACCGTCTGTCATTGCTGTAGGCGCTTGCTTTCAGGTAGCTAACTATGCTAACACTCTATACATCAGCGATAAGTCAGGCACCTGTAGCAAACAAGCAATCCTAAGCTCGAAGCCCTCAACCGGAGACCCCAGACCCCAAAAAATCTAAACTCTAAAGCAGCCCTTTTCCATGAACCCTAAACCCTACCCTCAATCATGGCAACCCAGCTGTCCCTCAGCTCGCAAGTTTACGTGCTCTCGCGGCCCGGTGGGTGCGAGAAAAGCCACTGCAAGAGGGCTGATGTAGAAGAGGTAGGTTACTGACTGTGAAGGTTCCTAAATTTTACCCTGCATTCCAAATTGTTTATACATGTGTTGTGTGTACATACATATATATGTAAATATATATACATACACGGCACGTATATGTACAAATGTTTTGTATAGGTTTATATGCATAGAGATAGAGAGAGAGGTAGAGAGAGAGAGAGAGTTGTATGTGTGTGTGTCATAATTGCTATATATATATATATATATACACACACACGTATACACGCAGGTCTCAAAGCCTCAAACACCCGCAAACCTCTTGCTTGCAGCCGCGGGTGCCAAGCACTTGGAGGGCCTCGCTCCAGCGCGCACCGCCCTGCAACACGATTTGGGGCTTAAGGGGCTATAGGATTGCGTAATAGTTTACAGGGCCTCGAGATTCTTCGAACCTTCCAGAGCTACTTCGGTAGTTTGGACTAGGTAATGTACAGGTTTTCGAATTTCCCAACAGCATTTAGCCACAGGAAGCACGGCAGGTCAAGAGTCGGCACAAGACGTCAGAGAGCAGCAAGGAAGGAGCTGCCTCTCCTGTACACTACGGTTTCGGGTTGAGGCTTAGGCTTTATGGTTTAGGGTTTCTGCATTCCGAAGCTCAAAAGTAAAGCGACTACGCGTGGCCGGCACAAAAGAAAGCAAGGTTGCGCTGCACTCACAGTTCATTGGATTAAGGGTTTGGCGATGCAGGGTTTTGAAAGCCCCCAAGACCCCCAACCCCAAACTAAACCCCAAAACTATAAATCATTAACCCCGAGTCTTCTAAACTCTTGTTTTCATCAGGACTTGCCCATAAACCAAACACTGAAAAACTGAAACCACAACCTCCAGCGCTGCCACCAGCGAGTTTCCGGCGATTATGTCCGGCTCGGACTCGGATTTGCATCGCCAGAACCTGAGGTGGTGCTGCTTAGAATTCGGGGACATGGGTTTAGGCTTTGGGGTAGGTGTAGCTGTTTTTACGGAGTTCTACGATTACCATACTATACATGAGTCTTCAGAAGAGCTGTGCAAGCAAGTAGGGGCCCTTATACGGGGGATCTATGGGTCGCGAAGTGAAACCAACAAGTGGCTGGGTGGGTTTCGGTTGACCAGGTCTTAGCTGCTGAGTTCTAAGCCCCAAAAAGTGTACACTTTCAGTTCTATGGTGGGTTATATAGAAAGTGTAAAGTGTATCCACTCAGCTACTAAGAGGTTTAGGTGGTTTGGGATCAAGAACTGGTTCGGCTAGCACTGTAGTGGATGCTATAGCAGATCTTCAATGCTCCTGCTGGCCACGGGCCCTGGGTGTCGTTATCAGGGGAGAGACGATAGACATGCCCCGACCTCAGTAGCGAAGTATTCTGCACTCCGAAACGGTGTTCGGTGTTTGGGTGGGCGGGAGACTGGCAGAATGCCTTGCAAAAACGGCAGATTGCATAGCAGCCTGCAGCTCAACATACCAACCGTCCCCGATAAGTCAGGCACCGCGCACATTAGGGTTTCGGTTAGAAGGGGCCCCCACCCTGTAATAGTGGTATAATAGGAATATAATAGGGCCCTAATAGTTTCTATTGCAGGGTGGGGGCAGCTTCTAAGGTTTAGGGTTTTGAGCGGGCAGATGCCAAAACTTGGGTCCGAAGCGCCACTCGCAGACTCCAACATCCCTTAAGTAAGGAATATTCCTTAAATCATATTCGGGGTCCTACTATAATTTAAGGTATATTCCATGATTAAGGGATGTTGGAGTCTCTGGGTGGACGACTCTCTAGCCAGATGTCGCGTAGCGTTCCCACGGCGCACTGCCACTTTGCAGGCTGCTGGCAAGCACTGAGGATGGCGCTGTAGCTGACGACCTGAACTGAAATTTCAGGTTCTTGGCCTAAACCTAGAGATTTTCAGACTCTTATTGTTTCGTGTGGAAGACATAGCTGAGCGTTATGGCTGGGCCCAAAATGCCAGATTGCAGGTTTTCCGGAAGTTGGCGTTTGGATGCCCAGGGCTGCGGTATGGCACTTCATCTTCCCCCAAGGGTCCAAGTACCCAATAATCATATACCCTCCAAAATCCTAACCTACATAACTACTATCCTAAAGCCGAGTACCTAATTATTGGGTCCTTTGGACCCTTAGGGTTCGGGTCAGTCGGACTCGGGTTGGTGGCGTCGGTGTGGGTTGAGAAATTTAAAGTATACCTGTAGTCTCCGTTGTAGTTCCTTTGTTTGGTTTAACGAATTATATACAAAGGATCCTATAAGGTAACCCCCAAAAGGAGCTACAATGGAGATTATAGGTAGTGGGTTTTCGGATGTCTGGGGCTTCGAGGGCTCCGGGCGAGCATCAGGAATCCTCTAAGCCCACATCTCTCACCCCTCATCTCCCAGAAGAATATATGGAACTTCAGTCCGTTTTATACCCTGACTGACTGTCTTACGGAGCCCTGGGGAAGCGCAAAACGCCTTTATTTTCCAAGCTTCTGGAATATAGAAACAAGCACATGGCAGACGGCGTCCGAGAGGCCGTGGGGGTGGGGCCGGCCGCACATGCAGCGTCGAAGAGGGCGGAGGCGCGCTGCCAGCGAGCGCAGCCAGCGCAAGCACTGATCTGCAGCAGGAGCCAAATCGACCAAGGTGGTTTTTGGCTTTAGGGTTGGATTTGGGGTCTAGGGCTTTTTTTTGAACGACCCTTTTCTGTGTCGCATGGAGTCTGAAAGCGCGAGTCTGCTGGGCGTTTGGATAGACGTCGTTTTGAACCCATTTAAAAGAAAACCCATCTTCTCAGCACTCACGGCCCGCACTAAAGCATTTCAGTCGAAACACACATCCACACTACTTCACTCGTCACCATGGTTCAGCTCTGCATCATCAGGAAGAGCTGCTTCAGCAGTCATTATGCAGAGTTAGGTATTAACAAGTGCAACACCCAAATATACCGGACATACCAGCATTAAAAAGCAATCACATAGCGGCAGATCTGTTGCTGAGAGCGGTATGTACCCAAAACTCTCTAGCAATGCTTCCAAAAACAGAGACTCTCATAGGAGTGCGGCATTACAGCATAAATATGGAGAATTCAAGTCTTAGTTCAAAAACCTAGTTCGCCATGAAGAAACTTTGCATGAGTTCACGAAGTGCCGGCTTGTCAGGGAGCGCAGCCACATATATATATATATATATATGTATATGTATATGTATATGTATGTATATATATATATATATATATACACATATGTATATATATATATATATACACACACACAACTAGTGTCAGTTGCCGAAATGACGTGAATGTGCTCTAATCCTCAAGATCGAATCCTAGACCGCCAACTGCCAACTCATTGGTGTAGCGTACGAGACCTCACCAGCCTGACACAGTCGACCTCACATCCTAAAAACCCTATTATTATTATTATTGGGGCCGTGCCGAAAAAGCCCGTAACCAGAGGGCATTCAGGGTTCGGAATTGTGCGATCTAGGTTTTAGGTGGAAATTTGGGTTTGGGAGCCCCCAAACCCCCCAAAACCCTAAAACCCTAAACCCGGGCTACCTGAGCAAAACGTAGGGTTCGGAGTTCGGAGTTCAAGATCCTCACTAACTCCTCACGTCGCTCCGAAGGACAGGTGCAATTTCTGCGTGGACCGGTTTAGAGATTACGGGTTTCGGCGCTCACACTAGGACAATCCAGTTTACGGGTTTAGGATTTTTGGTTTACGGTGTAGAGTCTTAGAAAGTTGCAACTGAGCAGCTGCAGCATTGTAGCTGATGATGTTAGGCGTCACACCTCTGGCGGCAACACGACAACAACTCTGCGGTATGATGTCGTTGGTTGGGGCCCTCGTTGTCGCACATTTCTTTTTCCGGTGGTGTCACGCAGGGCCCCCCTGTCCGTGATCTGCGTCACTCTTGTCTGTAGTACATCATTCAGGCATTCGTTGCTTTAGATGAAAACCCTCAATCCTGTGCAGCTCCAGAGCAAGAAGGGGCCTCTGCTCCTGCAGAGAAGATGACCGTGCTTGGTTCGCGCTTCCCCCTCACCACTGTTTAGCGCTTGGGGGTTTAGGGTCTCGGGCTGAGGGTTAGGGCTAGGCTGCCGTCATCTCAATCATTGGAGCGCTGTGCTTCTCCTTCAGGTTAGCGCAGGGTGTCGAGCAGTGCTTTGCCAGACAATGATACGAGCTTTTTTAAAGTCGAATGCGACCCCTTCAGGAAGGCTGAAAACTCCAAGTGCAACATAGCACCGTTTGCATGCTAGCATGTGAAAGCTCGAGCACGACTACTATAGAACAAACTCGAAGCACACAAAGAAACCTAAAGATCCAGGCCACCGTTGTGTATACCCAAAGGCCCCAAAGTAGCTCCTTTTTGGGATTACCTTATAGGATTCTATATATGAACCCCCAAAAAGAACTACTTTGGGGCCTTTGGGTACACCGCAGAAAGCTGTACGACTCAAAGACTGCGCTGCCTGACTCTGGCATCTCAGCGAGGAGGTCCAGTGCCTTCTGCCATTGCCCGCCCTTCTCGCAGGCAGAAATGCCTAGCGTCTTTCCGGTAGGATTGAGGGTCTAGGGTTCAAGATATGGGCGGTTGTCAAAATTAGGGTCCCTCTTTGGGTCCCTATTGTAATACGGCACCTAATATTTAGGGTACCCAGAAAGGGACCATCATTTTGACAACCACCCATATGGTGTAGTTTAGGATGCTATAAACAGGCTATGGGGCTTTGGATGGTCTGGGTTGAAGGGCCGTAAGTAAAACGATTCCGTTTTTTAAGTAAAAGGATTCCGTTTTTTAAGTAAAAGGATTCCGTTTTTTAAATAAAAGGATTCCGTTTTAAGTAAAAGGATTCCGTTTTAAGTAAAAGGATTCCGGAAATCCGCGTCTGGTACTCTCTAGCCTACTGGCCAAGATTCTGGGCTTCCGGCTCAGGCTCAGTTACCTGGCACCTTGAGAAGGGCCGTTATGGACTTCTCTCGTTTAGATGCACCAAAGGTCTTGAGGCTCAACACGGCCCAACAGCTGGTGCTTTGACCCAAAACGCCTGAAAATCCCAGGCCTTCGAGCCTCAGGGTTCTGGTCACTAAACCCGAACACTCGCAGTAGAGTTTCATAGCAGACCATTCAAGACCCTAAACCCAAAGCAGGTTAGGGTTGTAAAGTTGAAAATGAATCACAAACCCTGAACTTTGAGTACTAGAAGTTACGGGCGCGGCCGCCTGCACTGTAGAGCGCCGCATCCACGGTGCAGGCGCGCACGGCGCGCTCGAAGAAGCAAAGGGCCATCCGCCAAGCCTGGGTGTCATGGGTTAGGAGTTAATGCCGGTTTGGCGCCTGGCATTTCAGAAATCACCCTGCAAGATCTGTTCGGTGACCCTAGACAAGAGCTTTCCGAGCCCGACAAGGGTTTCAGTTTCCTACAGTACATAACGGCTGTGGCCCCCATATGGCAAGTCTCGAGGACGACCTCTCCAGGAGGCACTTCGGCAACACAACCAAGGCCGTGAGAAAGGCACATCCGAAACACTTAAACACTGCGGGTTTTGGAGCCAAAGTCTGAGGGAGTGAGGCTTCACTTCAGAAGTTAAGGAATGTTTGGGCCTCAGGGTTTGCGTCAGGTTTAGAAGCTTTGAAGGGTAGGGTTGTCGGGTGGAGGAAGCCTCATAACCTGAGAGCCTATAATAACTTTCCGAAAACAATAGGTTTTAGGGCTTGGGGCCTGGGGTGTGCATCTTTAACCCCTGCATGAGGATAACTAACAACACAGATAACGAGCTTGGAAGAACCCCCTCAGGTCGCGGCTGACGACCGGGCGCAGGCAGTCAATGCCGATGTCCAAGCGACAACTCCGACCTGTGGCATGCAGGAGCCTTATGATCAGAATAGGAGTTTGGGGTATCGGTATATCATAGTACGCTTATATTCAGGAACCAGAAGGAGTGGCACGGGCAATGATACTTATTCGCATTCTAGATTCGTAGTATTAACGAGAATGATGATGTTTTGGATGGTTTTAAAGGGGTGTCTTGAGGGTTTCATTTCGTAAAGGGCTGTATTGAGAAGTTTCAGCCTCTACATTACGACCTGTCGCAGACAACATCCGTCTCGTGGGGTTATCTCATACTACGGGCTACTAAATACTCATAAGCTGACACCCTTCGCATAGAAGCTACAAGTGACTTGTCCAGTATCCTAAAGGGGCACAAAGATTAGCTTATGGTTGAGGCCTGGTTTACATTACCCCCTAAGGGCTCAAATGTTAATTCCTAAAATCAGCCCCAAGCCCAAGGAGCAATCAGATCAGAGAAAAGCTAGGAAAAAGCAAGAAGCAACGCCGCCACTTACAACTCCAGACTTCTGATGTTAAGGCGCCCATATACCATGTTTAGGGTAATCTATACTGTAAACATTCACGGATGCATTCTTCTGTCTTGTGGAACCTCCAGCAGCCCGCGAAGATGGGACCATCAACACATTTGGGAGTTTCCGAAAATTAGGGGTACCTTATTTGGGGTCCTTATAATAAGGATCCTATTATTTGGGGTACTATATTACGGTCCCTATTTTCGGAAACTCCCATTTGTGTTTCATGAACCGCAAGTCTACAGAGGTCGAAACCTGCAGATCTTTCTCAGCATCGGCACATCAGGACCGCCGGCGAGACGTTGCCCCCTAAGCCCAAACTTTGAAGCCCCATGGAACCTCAAGCCTCAATCCCCGAACCCAAAAAACCTTGCAGGAATCCTTAACCCTAAGGCTCAAAATAGCCCAAAAGCCTTAAACAGTATGTTCTTTGGGCCCAAAAGCCTCAAACTTTGAGTCCTTAGAGCCTAAGGGTAAACGAACACAAACCTTCGTCTCCCCCATAAGAAACCCAGGGCCTTCATCTGCTCGGCGTCCATCTGCTCGACGAGGCTGAGGGCCAGTTGCCAGCTGCCAGCTTTGGCACAAGCCTTGTGGTAGGGTTCCTTCAAACGGGTATACAACGGCTACTACAAGGGATCTATAAGGGGTTGCTAAAAGCCATTACAGGTTTCCTTGAAAGGGGTCAAAAAAGGCTACTTTTGGGGTTCTATAAGGGTGCCATAACCTTATGTAGGAACCTGAATAATCGTAAGGTAGAGGCGGTGTAGACTTTAAGGTTAAGTTTGGGGTGTTGGGTCTGGTTTAGGGTTTAGAGTGTGATTTCAGGTTTAGGGTTGAGGATCTAGTTTCAAGGTTGGGGCTAGTGAGTTCAGCTGTGCCCTAATTATGACATGCAATTCCCGGTTTAGGGTCTACCCACTTAACCGTAAACCCAAGACCCTCAACCCTTACACGTCCGAGCCGCCCCGAGACACGCCCCATAGTGGAACTCGTTGACAGCCACCTGGACAGCGTTGATCCAAACTGGGAATTGGTGAAACCTATGCTTCTTTGGCTTAAGATTCGGGGTTGAAGCAGCTAGGAGGCCGGGGGTGGCAATTAGGGTTAAACCCTGAGCAACAGCATATGACTATATGACTAGCTTCTATATTAGAGGTTTCTGGTGGTGCGGTCGAACGCTACGATTCGACGGACCAAGCCAAAGCCTGTTGAGGTCACTCGAATCCTAAGTCCAAAGCACTAGAATCATCAGTGACATCAGGGTCAGTAGGGTTTCAATCTAAATAAGCAGAATCTCAGAAAGGGATTTTCGGGCCTAGTCTACTATGACACTATCGTTGGTAAGGACTACGCAAGAGAATACTGTTACTATTTGTTACTAGTTGCTCCGACTCCTTTACTAGGGGTAGTGATCAATGGCTCAAACCCCCCTAAACCCTGAAGCCTAATCCTTTAACCCTAGACCCGAAACCCCGTTGTTGAAACCGGACTTGATGACTGCCAGCACTGCCTCTTCCGCTGCTCGAAAACTCTTCACAACATATCGTGGGACAAAACAAGCTCCATCCTCTACTGTAGGGGCCCGGTTTAGGGTTTAGGGTTGAGGGTTTTAGTAGGGGCCTTATATACTTGTTAGATAGGGTTTTGAGACAAACTGGAGTACTACTTCCTCGGGACTATAACGGGGCCTTATATACTTGGTAGATAGGGTTTGGAGGCAAACTTTAGTACTATTCTCTCGGGACTATAAGGGGGTAGGATTACGCCTCGTGCTCCGGCATCCTGCTCAGAGTCGCTGTCGCCACATCGGCGCGCCGGGCCTGTTAGGGGGTTTAAGGTTTTCGGCTTTAGGGTCCAGCGGCGCTAGAGTTCGGGGATTGGAGTATGAGTCGGTATGAGGTTTGCGGACGGACTGCCAAGGCGGGAGGCTGGAGCCTGATACCCATCCATCCATCTATCCCTAAACCCTAAACCCCTAAAACCCTAAACCCTAAACCCTAAATCCATCCGTCCATCAATCCATCCATCCACCCATTCGAGCCAACATACATGCCTATATCACGACAATGATGCTGACACACAAATCATACAAAGACCACCGTGCTGATGAATGACAACAAGTAGTACATCCGAGAAAGCCACAGCCCGGCACAGTATAGCTCACCTCGGCGTCTTGCTTCTTCCTGGAGAAGTAAACCGAATACCGCAATCCTTTCCCTCGTAGTCAAGGCGTCGAGTGCAGCTGCTTGGATTGAACCCTTCCCCAGATTCTGACAAGAGGACTGCGAAGGGACCACAAAAGGTATATCCCGACAGAGTTTGGCATCGCACAACCAGATCTCTCGACCCCAATCCGGAGGCGGTGTCTGCTGCTTCAAGATTTTGGGGCCTTTAGGGTCCTATGACAGTGCTAAGCGGGGCTTTGGCTTTTCTTCGATTTTGCGAGTTGCGGGCGGCAGTTCCTCAAGTCAAACAGTAAACCGACGTCCCCAGCCTTTGCCAGCTGCTTTAGAATGGCGGTGGCTTGCCGCACATCTTCCTGGTGCAGCACTGGGCGAGGGTGGGCCAATAGGGTGGGCCTTTATTTCAGCAGAGCAACCCTCCCGAACCCCTTTTTAACCTGGACTATGCGTATGCCCTCCCGAACCCCTTTTTGCTGCAGGCTTGCTACCCCTTTTGCAACTGGCTTGCAACGTCACGCCAGGACAGCTGACGGCTTGCTACCCCTAAACCCCTAACCCCATTTGCACTCTCAGCCCTAACCGCCCACCGCGTGGCCTGCCATGCCTGGCACAGCTGCGCCAGCGCCACGCCGAAGGGCTCGGCCCCCTCGTCGAAGGCTGTGGCGAGAGTGTTGGCATGTTTTGACCGGAGCCTGGCAGGTCAGCTTACCCACAATAAGGAATATACCATAATTCCCGTAGTTTAGGGTCCTTAGTGTAAAGGGATCTATAAGGGTACCTTTAAGGGGTTCCTTTAAGGGATCTATAGGGCTTTAGGGTTTAGGGTTTAGGGTTGATGATTAAAATCCTGCATTACCTTAAGGACCCTAAACTATGAGAATGATGGTATATTCCTTCTTATGTGTATTGCAGGATTTATATCATCAACCTGTTGATAATATAAATCCTGCATTAGCCACAATGAGGAATGTACCATAATTCTCGTAGTTTAGGGTCCTTAAGGTAATGCAGGATTTGTATCATCAACAGTAGGGCTCCAGTTACTCAAATAGCAGGTTACTAACCATGTATTATACCCAGTAACCTGCTACCTCGGTAACTGGAGCCCAAGGGTATTATAGGCGGACTGCTTGACTTGGGTAAACCACATGAACGGAAGAAAAACGACGGAATGACGAAGAACTAAGCGAATGGTTTGTGAAGCTAGCACATACATGCTATGTGAACGTGCTGTTTTTGGAAGGCCTCTAAGAATTTAGGGCATCCCAACCCCATGGTTGTGCTGATCCTCTGACCAAGCAAAATCGACCCGCTAAACTGCAGATTCCTAAAGGCCTACACTTGCAAGCAAAAGCATCTTTTCAACTCAAAGACGAGGGTACAGGCTGAATACATTCAGGCAGGCATGCAAGCGTTGTTCAGAATGACGGCTCGGGATGGTTGAGGAATCGGCTTTCCCTTCCCCCCACCTCTTCGCACTCTGGCGACGGGAAGTGCCGGCGTTGGCTCTGTGTGATGCTCTCCTTGATGGAGCTGCGCTTCAAGCGTTACTAGCATACTAAAGCCTGCCCTCCAAGCATGGACAGGGACTCAAGTTCAAAGCGTAACATAGGGGCCTTAACGGGTAGACCAGGGCTTTGGGGCCCAAATTTCTACTACAAGCATAATAGGGAACCCGTATTGGCGATCATTTAAGCCCCTCTAGTAGGCCCTTTAAACTCTGACTCTATTTCCTTTCCTGCTTCAGTTTGCAATGCTTGTGAGTTCTTGTCTCAGGGCTCGGCTCGCTGTTGAAGGTTCATGAGTTGCAGGGGCTTGGAAAGTTGATATTTTTAGGGTTTAGGTTTAGGGTTTAGGGGTTTAGGGTTTAGGATTTTTTTATTTGACATTTACTCTCGGACAAGCCTGGCAAGGTCTGCAGAAGTAGGTTCGGGCTGCTTCGTTAACCCCTCATCAAGTAGGTTCAATCGACGAGGCTTACGGGTTTGGGGTTTGTCCCTTTTTGCTGCAGGCTTGCTTGCAAGGACGCCTGGCAGTGTGCCGCTCTTCCGCCAGTTAGGACTGTGCTCGTGACAGTGCCCCTAGCTTCATAAACCCTTGAACCCTGAACCCTCAACCAAGGTTAGGGTGCAGGGCTCAGGGTTGTGTGATTTCGGGGTTTCGGGCTCAGGGTGCTACGGGTTGCACGGGGTCTTGTGCATTGCGACGCTCATTGACATCCCAAACGGAAGGAGGCGATACAGAAGCATTTTAACAAAGACCAACCTTGCGATTTAAATGACGGGGTCTTACCATTCAGGTCTCTCTCTCTGCCTCCAGATATACATATCTACGTAATGTGCAGCAGAGAGGGAGAGAGATAGAGTGAGAGAGAAAGAGAGAGCAAGAAAGAACTGATAGCAACAACAAAAGCTGCAACCGTGCGAGATGCTTCAACGTGCAGTAGGCAATTGCATTTTGGCAGGGGGAAGGTGTGACTCCGGCAAACACACAGACTGTCCCCTGGCAATTGCCAGCCAACATAAAGGAACGTAACCTTTACTGATCCCTCAAAATCCTACCCGGTTCCACGCATTCAAGCCCCAAAACTGTGCTGCCGTTTTCAACAATGCCCTGCCCAGCTTTCATTTCACAAAGATGCCAATCCCGCACCTGGAAGTTTCAGAATGAGTGCCTCGTGTCTGCATGTGTGTGTACATGTGTATATATATATAAACATATATGTACAGACCCACATATTTACACAAATACATATGTACATGCATCCATCCGTGCATGCCTATATATATATATATATATGTATCTAATTATAACTATGTGTTGAACCTGCGAGAGCCGCATCCCTATAAGTCCCCAGATGAAGTAGAAGGTGTTGAAACACACGCCCACCGCTCATCTTCCATGTTCGATCCAGCGGCGCAATCGCGGGGCAGTCCTGAGGGCTCCAGAAGGCACCATGTACAACCGTATGTGGATATACGTACGTGCATACACACATCTATGTATGTATGGATGGATGGATGTCGATAACAGGTAGGGCCGGTAGGGTTTTTGGGGTTAAGGAATATCGCAGCCCATCAAACTCCTCTTGAAACATCCTGCAAGTCATTCGTGCTTCATGAACACGTACCTGGCTTCCAGTCTCGCAACATCTACACCTGAACCAGTTTACCCCTTCAGGGTCCCAAAGTCTGCAAACCGAAGCCTCTATACTCGAGACCCGAAACCCCTAAGACCTGCAACTAACTACCCTACTAAGCCATTAAATTCAAACCTCTACACCTTCAATTCTGAGCCCCAGACCCTAGACCCTAAAGAGCCCTAGACCCTTGTAGAGGCCTCAATAGTTAGAATTGTTCCTTATTGTCACTATAATATAATATACCCCAAAACCTATTCTAACAACATTATATAGTAGCCCATCATACAGAACCCTATAGAACCCTACCCTATAGAACCCTATCAAACCCTGGCTTCAAACTGCGATTCCAACAAAAAACACGAACCAGAAGCCATACCATAATTACTATAGGTTCCAGGGCTTTGGGTTTACATGCTCTCGCAACTCGGACTGCGCCAGACGAGGTCTCTCGGTTCAGAAGTGCTTTGACTGGTTTATTAGACGCCTCCTCCAGAGCGTCCTTCTTTCCCTTGAGGAGGGCCAGCTTTCCGCGGAGCTTTTGAGCGAGCTCGCGCATCTGCCTGTCATGCACCCACATCTGAATCTCTGCCTCCGCAAGAAGGCCCTCTGCATGGCAGATTAGCCGCGCCGCGTCCATCGTCGGTGCACAGGTTGCAGCGCCGTTTGACATGATCGTGGAGATACAGCAGAGGCCCATGGGCTAGCGGCTAGCAAGGATTTTGTACAGTTGCGTTGCAAGGCAGGATTCTAGAAGCATTCTTTGAACATGAGGGTCGGTTCTGTAAGGTTTCGAGTTTCGTGATTTGCAGCATTTGCTAACTGAGCGGACGCTGATATCGGGCAGGAAGCGCCCTGGTTAGGGTTTAGGGCTTTCAGGGTTTAGGGGTTCTAAAAGTTACTATAGGGTTCTGGGCATATTATGGTGTGCTTGGAGTAAGGAACCCTTGGATTCATATTTGTAATTGGAAAGGCGTCTATAGGAGGTATGGCCCCTGAACGTGAAACCCTTTAACTCTCAGCCCTGTTTGAAACCTAAACCTGAAACGGTTTAGGGTTCCGAAAGCCACAATTCCTGACAACTACCCCCTCTCATCCACTAAACCCGAAACCCTACTTGGAGGGTCGGGGGACTTAGTAAGTAGGTAGTAAGTAGACTTATAAGTACCCTAAAAGGGACCCTAATTGGGGTTATGGTACTTATAAGTCTATAAAATAACCAGTTACTAAGTCCCCCGACCCTCCAAGTAGACCCCTAGACCCCCAAACCCCCTCCCATCCTCGATGTGCACAGCGGCCATGAGCCATACGAATGTGCAGGACGTAACCCATGGCGAGAGCAAGTGCTAAGCAAAGATCTTCAAGGCTTCAGGCTTTAAAGGTTCAGGGCTTAGGGTTCAGGGGTTTTGGCATTTAGGGTTTAGGGGTTTAGGGGCTTCGGGGATTTAGGGTCGAATATTTCTGGACTACGGCTTAGGGCTTACAAGCCTCTGGGGATAACGGCTGTCGGCTGGTTGCACATTCGTTCTGCCAGCCCCAAGACCATGAACTCAGAACCCCTTCATAAGTTCTAAACCCGAAGCTTGCTTGAGAATTTTGGAAGTCTGGGGCTTGTGGGTCTACGATTTAAACTTTGGGGGCATACCCTAAGGCTCCTAAGAGGGCCATGGGATCTCTGGGGGAGTTTGGGCTTGGGGGCTAAGGTTTGGGATCTCACTACGAGGGTCCAGGAGCATTAGGATAGACGTTATCCTTTCCGGCTAGGTGATGCTTCGGGCTGAGACCGTAGTCGCCGTTTAATGTCGGCACTTTGCAAAATGGCTGCGTTACAGTGGTATCTAAACCATGTACCTTGCAAACTAAATCCAACGCCCTGAACCCCAAATTTTCCAATTCAAGACAGTCGAGGATACTCAAAACCGAAGGGCCCATAGTGTGTGCGTGCCCAATAACATCCCTAAAGATGTCATGAAAAGCATTTCAACACAGCTCTTCCTATTTATTTTGATGGTTTAAGGAACCCCGAACCCTAAACTCCAGAGCCCCATACTGGAGTTTCCGGAAACAAGGGACCCTAATATAGCACCCTAAATAGTAGGACTCTTATTATAAGGGCCCCAGAATCAGGTATCCCTAATTTTCGGAAACTCCCATACCTGTGTTGACTCAAGGGCCCTCCGCGGAGGTCTCCATTCCGGAATCTCACAGAGCCCGCACACCCGCACTCTACGGCCTTCGAATCCGCCGTGAGTAAAACCGAAAAGGTTTAGTCTTCGTTTGGCGTTTAGGGTTTAGGGTCAGGGCTTATAAGGGTCTAGGGTTCAGGGGTCTATAGGGCTTAAGTTTTAAAGTTCAGGGTTTAAGGTACAGGCGGTAGGATTCGGTGTTCACACTGACAAAGAATAAGGGTACTAGTGGAGGACCTGAGCCTTCACAGGGCCAGAAAGCCCAATACCCCTTAATTAAGGAATGTAGCCCCTAGCTCACAATCAGATGTCTCTAACTGATTTTTCGGGGGAAGGCAGCATGAGGAAGTAACAACCGAATATCAAGCATGCAGTCACAACGGCAGCGATGACACTTACGACAATGGCTTTCGGTCGAATAGGAGATCAAGGTCGATTGGGATATGGGGGTTTCCGAAAATTAGGGGTACCTGTTTTGGAGTCCTTATAATAAGGATCCTACTATTTAGGGTACTATATTAGGGTCCCCTGTTTTCGGAAACCCCCATATTGCCTCGTCTTTCTAGCTCTCGCACGCCGGAAAGCTCAAATTGGTGTGGCTTCTGCACATCTTTGTGGCGCCCACATGGAGATCGCTCGAATTTCATCCTGAACTCTAAGCCTGAAACCCTGCACCCCCCAAATCCCCAAACCCATTATCCCTAAACCCACTAGGGCTTCTAGCAGTCTGGCTTGCAACTCGCTGGGCTAAGCCGGAACCAGGGCCTCTTGGGCTTCAGATAGCAGGATAAACTGTATGCTACTGTAAAGTATTCCTTAGCCCGGAATAACCTACCGTTTTGAGGACTTATATAAATAAAAAAGAATAATAAAGAGCCCTAAAAAGCTAGGCTTACATCATAGTACACAGGATTGCAAGTGCGACACCTGGTGGACCAAAAACAAGAGAACGATGCAGCAGCCCGTGGTATCTGCGCAAATACTGTTGCCAGAGATCAGACAGGGAGCTTTGTCTGCTTCCTTAACCCTGAGCAGGACGCCAACACACTGCAATCCTAATGAAACTAAACCAAACCCTCATAAACGAACCTGTATAAAGCAACTTCAAGGAACCCAAATCCCCAAAAAACGATGATGGCATCTCAGAAAGCATTCCCATGGCTACGGGCGTGCAGGTGAAACGTCCGCGGGCGAACCGTCGGGGTGCCTGGGCGAGTTGCCACGGTCTTTGAAGGGCAACAAAGCTTGCAGGGTTTGGGGTTCAAAGGTGTAGAGTTTACAAAAGACCTACCTTTTTTAGGGCTCTTGATCATGGTTTCTAAATATATAAAAAATATATAACTAGTTCCTTAGAATGGTAGGTCTTCTCGGCTACCGGTAGGGTTTAGAGTTCAGGGCCCGAACCCTGAAGCCGCAAACTCCGAAGCCTAAGCTAGCCCGAATCTGAACATCGAACCGCGTCAAACTAAGCCCAGAAACCTAAACCCCTAAACCCTAAACCCCTAACCTCTAAACCCCTAAATCCTAAACACCTAACCCCTAAACCCCTAAACCCCTACACCCCTAAACCCTAAATCGTGAATCATAAGCCCTAAACCCCTAGACCCTGAACACTTCTGAACACTTCTTCGGACCTGAGCTTCATTCAGAGTTCAGGCTTCGAGCTGAGGGATTCAAGCTTGAGTCTTCAGGAGTGAGTGGCCTTGGGGCCGTTTAGGTGTTTAGGGTTTCGGGTTAGTGGCCTTGGGGCCGTTTAGGTGTTTTTTTGTTGAAGGACCCTTTTCCGTCTCGCAAGATTCAGAAAGTGAAAGTTCACTGGGCTGTTTAGGTGTGTAGGGTTTCGGGCTTCTTTCTTGGAGTGGGTTTGTTGAGTATTTCAGATCTATCGGGATAAATATAATGCATGTTCCAGCACTCACGGCTTGTGTAGTACTTGCTGGCTTACGGTTCAGGATCCCTTTTTGGGTACTCTAAATATTAGGCGCCGTACCAAATTTTGACCCCAAAAGGAACCATAATTTTGACAACTACCCATTTGGACCCTGACGAACCCAACCTGTAGAAGGATATTACGGTAAGGAAACCGAAAAAGGCTGGTAGGTTATTCAGGGTCCAGGTATATGTACTTGTAACCCGACTATAACCCCGAACCTCCAAGTAGATCACAAAAGGGTTGCGAATGCCTCCCGGCAAGTGGCTGCGACCTCAGGAACCAAGACGTTGCCCTTGTCCTTGGAAAACCTTGCCGCCGGCCAGGTCGTCTGTTTTTGTCTCGGTGGTGGGCTTGACTAAATATGTCGGCTAGTTCATGTGTCACAGGCCACTGGGCTTTGCATTCTTCTGCCTATCTGTTTTCTATAAGGCCCGCCAGAATCTGATGCCTTTTCGGCACACGGACAGCAATAAGGAGGCAGAAGATTTTGGCAGACTCAAACTAGCAGCCGGGAGCTGTGATATCACATGTTGCCCAGAATCTATCCGTTGAAAAGGAGCTGGATTTTACAACAAACTTACCCCAAAAGAACTGCTCGAACAGCCCTGACTTCGGGCCGTCCAAAGCAAGGACTGCTTGTTTGCGTGATTTTGCGTGCTCGCTCTCGGACAAGACAGGCACGGACTGTAATGAAGCCGGCAAGGTGCAAGTGCACAAACGGCTGTCGTATGGGAGGGTTCCGCCTTAATTACAGGGGTTTTCCTGAGCCTAGACTACAAACACATTCAAATTCAAATGCCAGACTCAAAACAAAGAGGGATCCTCGGCCTTTCTGGACCCTGAGTGCCTTGTTACTGCGACCCGTATTATCAGGATCCCAAAAACATCCCAAAGCAATTGGCGCAAATAGAACTGTATGGGCACCCCATAAACACCGTTAGTACACGAACAGAAACCCTGCAACAACAAAATTGAACTGTAGTATCCCCCATTTGCAAAGCTCTGTAGAAACCTAAAAAACCCTTACGGAAACCTGATAAGAATAGGAAATACCTTCATTTGTAGGTCTTGCATAGATGTTTTTTTTATAGAAACCCTTTACGGAAATCTGGTACTGATAGGAAAAACCTTCATCTCTAGGTCGAGGCCCAGCTGAGCCTCGGACGTTGAAGCCCCCGCCCTGCGTGGCCTCGGCCCGACCGTCGAGGAAGCCTGGCGAATACGGGGTTTAGTTTTAGGGGGGTTTGGGGGGTTTTAGGGTTTAGGGGTTTTGGGGTTTAGTTTAGGGGTTTTGGGGGTTTAGTTTTTGGGGGGTTTGGGGGTTTAGGGTTTAGTTGTGGGGTTTTGTTGGTTTAGGGTCTAGTTTAAGGGTTTGGGGGTTTTAGGGTTTAGTTTAGTGGATTTTTTCCCTCTCGCATGGCTGGCATCAATGTCCACAGGCGAGGATTCATTGGGGAAGAATGGCACTTGCATTAGTCCCCAGTGCGGTAGACTTCGCATTTAGGGGATTTTTGCCTCCCGCCTGGCTAGGACGAACCTACGATGCAGGGTACACTCATGGCATCACACACAGGAACTATACACGTGTCAGTCGGCTCATCAACTTCGGATGGCAGGCTATCGATCGCGTTGACTTTGCAATGCTGTCAAAAGGCAGCTCAGATAGCGAAGTATATGTTGCACACACTCCGCATTATCAACATGCAACTTGACTCAGCTGTTCGCGGATTCATACGTTGGTGTTTGCAGATTCCCTGTCCGTCTCCACTGTTTTCCAGCTCCTGTCGCCTCCTCACTCATGCAGGTGTTTTTCAGCCATTGCATGCATTCTCCGCCGCGATGTACCGACATTCACCATTGATAACAAAACAACATGCAGTCGCATGCAATCGCATTCCATGCAGACACTTCTGTCGTCCCAGCGCCGAAACACTGGAGCATTCAGGGATCCACATTGCACCATGCAGTCAAACTCGACCGCCACTGTCCAGAAGGAGGTGAACGCACAGTCGGACTGATCATGCTGCCTGCTGCCTCCTTGCCTTGCTAGTGCACAGCAGAATGGATGCCTAGCCAAACCCATCGAGAGCAAGACGAACTCAAGACGTTGTTCTTTCTGTACGAATTCCAAACTTGAGCTCAGCTCGTCCACGCATGCAGCACTGTCCACGCAGAGGCATTCGTGAATTCCGGGTCCAGACTGACCGTGCTGTTCCTCCACAGTGTCCATGCAGTATGCAGTGGCATTCTTGAATTCCAAACAATAAATTCTCCAGTTGCACACGTCCCTCACGAAGTATTGCAAACTGGCGGTATCCAAACGCAGTCTCCCATGTTGATTTCCAGAATTGATGAATTCGTGAATTAATCCAGCATCCCACACTTTCAGACCACATTTGCACGGACCTTCGTCAGCCAGTCAAGGCCTCGCAGACCACACACATCAGCGATGGCGGTAGCCCAGCGTGGTGGGTGCAGACAAGAGTTGGTCAGGAGTCCAGCCATGGCAATGGTCACATATTTTCGCCCAAGCAAGCCCTGAAGACACCGAAGGCACAAAAGGGTCCCTGAATATATAAGGCCCATAGCTCCTGGGAGCAGCACCCAATATACCCCGTATAACCCAAAGGGAGAGGAGGAAGACAGGGAGAAAGGACGGGACTGGAAAGGAGACCATGTGCATGTGTAAGTCACTGCAAGCATCAGTCCAGGGGCGGCACATTTCGGTTATTTAAATTTTTATAGGTTTTTTCTTGGCTTCCGTAAAAGTATTGCGCCACACCAGGACAATGATTGCTGTCACTCCTACATGCTTTTTCGTCTTCTCTCTGACTCCTCATTAACTCTCGTCTTCTTGTTCGCTTGGAGCCTTGTGGATCTGTTTCTGGTTCACCGATCCTAATCCAAACTCCCGAATGCTCCTCTGAAGATTAAAACGCAACTTCCACCGATCCAGTTCGGGGGCTCCTGGCACCGGAAACTGCCACACCTTCTTAAGCAAGGAGCGGTTGGTCTCATCGAGGGCTCGGGTATGTATGGTATTAAAGGCAATGAGGACAACTCTCACTTGTCCTTTCCACGGGGTGCAAACATGTAGGTGGCTTCTACTCGGGAACAGGATAGGACGATGTTGAATCTCAATGATGTTGCCCCATAGTGTACTTCCAAGGTGGCAAATGGGGTCTGTGCCATTTGTATCCTGAATCCAAAGGTCACCTCCATCCTGCACTGTGAGGCACGTGAGGAACGACAGCCCATCATAGTTATTGAGGTCACGATGTGGGCCTTTATGACCATTAGCTACGATGGCAATGGTGGTGAACTGAAACTTTGGGGCCCACGAGGTGATGAAACGAACAAGGGCTTTGGTGGTCCTACTGAGCTCAAAAGTCGCATGTGTTATCTGGTTCGGACTACGAGGACTTTGACCTAGTACAATGTAGGACATTTCACGTTGGGGCTGATCAGGTAGCTTCGGGGGCTGCAGAGAGGGCTTCGGGCGGAGGCGCTTGGCTTTGGGGATGAGGGTCCACAGTGTTAGGACGTCAGAGTGCAGTACAGGTTGTTGGGATGGGAGGCTCAGGAGTTCAGTCGCAGCGCTCTCAACATTGCCGCATCGGTATTCTGTTGCCAGTACAGGCGGTGGTACTGGGATGCACTGGTTTGAAGCCTCGGGGCTCAGCTTAAGACGTTTCACACGGGGAACACTTGTTTTGGTTGGCTCTTCGTAGCAAGGTTCGTGACTCGATGGAGACAGCATGGATCCTACCCAATCCTGCCTGAAAGGAATCCCCAAAAGTAAAGCCCCAGCTCACTTCACTTCAAAGTTCACTCTGAGCCGCATCTTGTACGGCACTGCATGTATTGGCAACAGGACAGCGGTGTGACATGGAGTTCGCACGCAGAAAGACTCACCACTGATCGCTCCAGTATCCCAGGTACTGCTTCATTTTGGTCGGCGAAGCCGGGTCATCGAGCTCGCACGTCGTGAGCACACAGCATGTTGCAGCGCAAAGCAATCCATGTATTCACAAACGAATTCAAATGCATGCAAAGTCAGCGTGTCATGCAAGCGTGTTGTGCGACACATCGTTGTACCATGCAGAAACTCGTGGTGCCAGGACAGACAGTGAAACCATGCAAGGGTCATGCAAGGGTCATGCTAAAGAATAAATTCGGAACAAGCACATGCTGCTTAAATTCACATGCTGTTCACAGGTGCTCAAGAAGAGTGCAATTCCAGTCTCGCATCCTGATACATTATGGGCATGAGAGGTTCAGAAAGAGGTACTAGAGAGACGGTATGCGAGCCCTTTCATCGCTGGAAAATGTAATGCCCCTGCCTTTGCAGGGCATCTTGTTGCTGGGCCGTTAAAATGAGTGGTGCTCCTTGACCTGGTGGCGGTGCTACGAAGAACGGCGAGGCCGCACTCAGGATAATCGGCGGTGTGCTCGAGGACGATGCCGGCACTGCTTCCTGAAGCCGAATTGTCTCCGGCGGGGTGCTGTGCTCGGTGTTGGTCGCAGCGGTGGAGCTTCCCGACTGGTTCGGCGGTTTACGCGCCGGCAGTTTGGGGAGCCGTTCTGTGACCTTCTCGTCCAGCTCTTGCACTCGGATATTGATGTCCTGGACATTGCGACAGATATCCGTCAGCCAACTCCAGACCTGGTCCAGAGTTTCTTTCAGCTCTGTTGCCAAGTGTTCCGTGACCCCGAGGTGTCTCATCATGGGGTCAATCGGCAGGTCATCGATCCGTCGCCTGATCCCATCGCACTCCTTTGCCAGTTCGGGCAGGGCTTGCTGTATTTTGTCTGAGCCTTCTTTGGTGCTCCGGATGAGGGGGATGGCCGAAGTGAGATAGCTCTTGATCTGGCCATTCTCAGTGAACCATAGGTTATGGTTCTTTTCTGTCTTCTGATCCAGCTTTGTGAACCCCACATGATTTTCATTCGAAATCTTCTGGAGACTCCCAGCGAGGGCGTCAACCAAGCGGTCCAAAGCGATCAGCTTGTCCGACAGCTCTGTTGTCCGGTCGCAGATCTGCCTGGTTGCTGCTTGCTGGTCTTGTAACACCTCACGCACCTGAGCCAAGCTTCCATCTTGTAGTGTTTCCAGGACCTTCTGCTGTTTGGCCACATCATCCAAGAGATCCTTGTGCAGAATCACAGCTTTGCGAGTCTCGTTTGACTCTTGAGTCAGAAGATCACGAAGCTGCTTCAGCTGCGATCCATCCAGTGTCACCTGTTGAGCGCCCGACTTGACCGCTGCGTGCAGGACTTGTAAGTTGTCCACCAGGTGCTCCTTTTGGTCCTTGGCGAACTGCTCAAACCTCTCATCAACCAGAGAGTTGATCCGCGAGAAGGCTTCGTCTTGCATGCGCTCCAATGCGCTGTGCCAGGCAGGGGGTTGCTTCCACCACTCCTTAACATGGTTCATCGCCCGTCTGCCATGCTTCCCGAGTGCAAAAAGCACTGGGGCAGTCAAAAGCAGCACTGCGATTGTCCACATGAGTGTCATGTCCGCTGGCTGAGGCATGAGCGCAACAGGAAAGCTACAGTGCACAGCTGACTGTCGCGTGTCACTCGAGACAAAATTTACTGATCATGATAGCATGGAATTTTGGACCGTCCTGCCCCCCCCCCCTCTCTGTTAACTCAACTGGTTTGTTGTCAGTTATGTTGTGCTGCAATCCAGTTGTGTATCGGTGGGGCGGGGTGGGAAGTAGGGAGTATGTGTGCCTGTTTGTAGTCAGCAGTACGGTAGGTAAGTTTATAGTGCGTGAAGTACAAGGCTTGTTTGGCTCCTAGATCAGCAAGGGTATTAAGTGCATGACCTGCGTGACCTTTGACATGCGCAGCTACAACCCTGTGGCAGAGGAAACCCCAGTGATAGGTCAATTCATTGATTTCGCCGGCATAAATGGTGGGTTTTATTGCATCACTGAGAACCTGTAGCACAAAGCTGGAGTCAGTCATGTACTTAATTGGAATGTGTGGGTCGATGTACTGCTTGAGGACGCGGATGAGCTTAAGCGCTCTAATAGCGGCTTGTAGTTCGGCACGAATATTTGTGCAATCTCCATGAATCCTCGCATTACAGATGACTGCGGTTTGGATGTCGGCATATGGGGCGAGGATGGTGACGGCAAGACCGCCTTTTCTTTGCCTACTACTTCCGTCGCTGCAGACTTGGATGCCCTGCAGGTCATCAT